CAGACCCTACTAAGCGGTGATTGAAATTTTGGCCATCACGCAAACACTTCGTGATTTGCGCCTCGTCCTCCTGCGTAACCGGTCAAGGACGAAGAGAACCCACGCGACTGTCTTTGGAGACAGCAAAAATCAAAAAAGGGTTTGCAGTTTTTCCGTCTGACTAGTGGCAGATGAACATTACCGGGAGAATCGTCCTGATTTCAAACGGACTGCCCACTCAAATGAAGAAGACAGCAAAGTCTGTCGACTCTATATGAAAAAGACTGTTACGAAACTGAATCGAGCAAAGAAACGCCTGTACGAGATGCTGTGGACCCCGAAAATTTCCGTAAGAAAAGGAACCCAGGAAAATTGCCGGCCGACCAAAATATTGTTTTAACATAAGAACTCTCGCTTCGGCGAATCAGAATTTTGTGTGGAAATATCCACTCGACTCACTGATAAGTTGATTTTCTTGTCTTGATCTTTATTTATATATTCGCTTATGTATTCGCTCGCACCTTCTATTCTTTAATGATCCCCTTCCCCTTTGTTAAATGAATTTTCTTTTTTCTTTTCTATCTGTTTATGTATTTATAAATAAATGTTTTATTTTAAAATCCATCGTCTTGCGTCTGTTCTTCATTCACTCCCTTGTGTCACATCTGTTCCTGAGTGAAGACCGAGAAAAGATCCCACGTTTTCTTTTTTTTTTAACCCGTGGTTCACCTATATGCTACAAGTTCGTAACAATGTATGTATATATAGGTATATGTTTAGGGAAATGAAATAACTAAATATAAGCAACCGTATACATATTAGGAGAATACAATAAAAATGTTAACAAAAACACTCTATTGAAAATAATATATTACATGTATGTTCATTCTTATCTATGTATCTATCTGTCTCTGTCTCTCTGTATCTGTCTTTCTTTCTCTTTCTCTCTCTCTCTCTCTCTCTCTCCATATATATATATATATATAGGTTTAGGAAAATGAAATAACTAAATATAAGCAACCGCGCGTGCTGGCTTGTATATTCAGGTAAGAAAATAAATAATTACCATATTTTGCCAAGAGGTGTAAACACACACACACACACACACACACACATACACACGCACACATACACACACACACACACACACACACACACACACACACACACACATATATATATATATATATATATATATATATATATATATATATTCATTGTATCTGTCACAGTTCATTTTCTTTCTTTTTTTCTTTTTTCTTACTTTCTGTCTATCACAAATTTTGTTGTTTTCTATCTATTTGTTTATATATCTACCTGTCTATCTATGGGTTAACTTTTAAGGCTTCTGGTGGAATATGGATATTATTTATATATTCAAGACATCTAAATTGTTTACAGAATGGGAAAACCTTCCATGCACTTTCAAAAAAAGCTTCTTTTTTTTTTTAGACCAGTCAATTTTTAGACATGGGTAGGGAAGATATATAATAGCAAATTAATTGTCCCTGTTGAATTTACAATGTGGAAGGCACAACTGGGCCACTGCAAATTATTCTTCTGTAGTTTTCCTAGTAAGTTTTTTTAAGGGCGTGTTGCTAGCCAAACGGCTAACCGGTACTGAGTTCAGCCTTGTCCCCCCCCCTTCCATACCGTATATACAATGAACTTCATATGTAGGTGAGGTACGATATAATTAGCTAGAAGTATTCATTACTATTTCTATGGTAGTTTACTCTTCAGTGTCAGGCCTAGTGGTAACTACCAGTTTGTCCACGTCGCAGCCGGTTGTGACACAAGGGCGAGGCTTAAATTGGGTCTATCACATCGCACTGCATAAAAATTTCCAAGCCCACTCGACACTTCCGCTTTTGGGAAGACCTCACGCGTCGGGCAATAAACCTATTCCCCTCCCGAGTGAGAGTTACTGCCTGGGGAAAAAGCCGACTGGTTCTTAAGCTTACCAGTCCCAACCATTTACAAGAGTCCCCAGTTGTATCTACTAGTATTTATTCTTTTCTCTGGAAAAAATATTCTTAACTCCTCCGATATAAAACTAGACGCCCTATCATATAATAAAAGATCATATATATGTATATAACTTGTCATACGAAATATGCAAAATAATTTACTTAAGCAAGTCAATACAGTTGTAGTGAGTATGATTCTACACGCAAAAGCGAAAGTGTAATGATTATATTCATAAATGATAGTCAATAAATACTTCTTTTCTCATCGATTTGGATTCCTTGAAATCTATATTCAATCTTTCGAAGGTTTGAGAGGCTTACATTAATATATTTCCTCTCTCACAAATCTTGCTTTTCTACGGCATAGACATTACAGTTTTTCAGTCATACTCTACTTCCGGTATATAGTAGAACAATTTACTCGGCCTCATGAAGTGCCACATTCTTGATACTCCATGACATGGACATAGGGTTGTAACATATGAACGATAATGAGTATGTAACTACGGTCGATAATGGGTATGTCCCCATTCACATAAATACAGTAGTAAATACTGTATGTTGGTCTGCAGTTGAAGATTCGTCTCTAGCTGTGCCTGTCAAACTTTCTGCTTCGGAGTAGGGAGGATCCCTAGAAGAGTTTATTTCGAAGGGCAGAGTCTCGTCTCGGGAAACAGCTGCCCGACCCCGTTTTATATGGGGGTCTACGGCTAATTTTTGGATGCCCCATATTAAATTCGGCCTTATGCTACATCTGACCGCGTCGGGCGGTTGGTAGATATCCTGCAGTTAGAGATTCGTCTCCAGCTGTGCTGGTCAAACACTCTGCCTTTGGACAGAGGAGATGCCCAGACGAGGTTATGTCGAAGGGCAGAGTCTCGTCTCGGGAAACAGCTACTCGACCCTCGTTTTATAGAGGGTCTACGGGGAATTTTTAGCCTAGCCTACGGGCTCGGATACCCCACATTAAATTCGGCCTTTTGCCACACCTGACTGTGTGGGGCGGTTGGTAGGTATCCTGCAGTTGGAAATTCATTGTGAAATTCACTTGACTCTCTAGCAGTTCACTACGTCTACGCGCTGCTGGCGAATCTTATATGTGTTGTTCTTGTCCTAAGTATTATCGTTCATTATCAACCTTCCTTTGATTATTCTATTCAGTAACCTCTCCCTAGGTTACAGTACATAGATTATTATGTAATTCCTTAAAGTCGATATTTACGACAGAAGCGCAATGTACTCTCGCATCTGGGCATGCGTTTTTGATAGCCAGTCGATATATGATACCGATTCCCTAGCTGTTAATTTTGTCGTTTTTAGTCTTCAAAGATTTGTGCTTATTGAAAATGTAGGATAATTTTTGGTCCGTGACAAGAAAGAAATATTTACCTTTCAGGTGATGATGCCATTCACTAATTGTTTCGATAATCGTGTTAGCTTCAGAGACGTTTAGAGTTATGGAGCCGAATGCAACAGGCCTAAGTCCTTGATTTAGCATCCCCGCTAAGCTCATGTAGCTAGCACCGGCTTCAGTTTTAAGTGTTTATTACTAGTCTATAGTGTGTACTAGAGCTCTGTTCAAATATGCAAAGGATTTTTTTTTATTTAATTTTTAGTGAATTGTTTGGAACCCAATGACTGTAATAAGCGAACATTACGACGATTCTCTTCCGAGCTTTCATATTGCCTGGGGGAGGGAGTTGGCGAAGAGGTCTCATCCTTTCAGGGTCTGGTTTAACGGTCCCTTTATTTACTTCATATCCCAGAAGTTTCATTTTCGTTGCCCTGTAGACACCTGTATTTTCATTTAAAGTGAGTGTGTACTTTTCAATGAATTCTTTGAATCTTGCCAAGTTAGTGTCATGTTCGCTTTTATTAATAACACAGCTGGTCACGTCATCCATATATGGGAATGTTCCTCCTTTTCGGCCTTTCTTTTCGATAATTTACACCAAAATTCTTTGAAACCCAGCCATTCTATTTGCGATCCCAAATGGCATCCTTTTAACTTTATACAATTTCCCACCGGTTTCAAATGCCGTATAAGGGCGGTCTGCTTTACTCAGGGAAAATTGATGATACGCACATTTTTTTAGGTCTACTTTAGCTATTTCAGGATCTATTGTTGTAATCTTAGGCAAAAGATAGAGATCTTTTAAGGTAAAAGGATTTATCGTTTGTCAATAATCCTTGACAAACCTTTTTTTTGTTTCTCGTTTTTCGTCCTTAGTTTCCACGAATTTCACTCTCCACGGAGATCTTCTGGACTCAATGATGTCTGAATCCAGCAGCCATTTTTTATTCCATTCCTTATCAATGCCTCCTCTTCTTTAGAATATCGTCGGGATTTAACAGATATAGGTCTACAGTCAGCCGATAGATTTTCAAACAGGGGACAAGGTGGAATCCTCATGCTAGCTTGCACACACAATTATAGAAGTGCGTTTTTGTTTGTGCAGATATATAAAAATGAACGTAGATAGATAGATAGATAGATAGATAGATAGATAACGAATGAACAGAGATAGATAGATAGATAGATAGATAGATAGATAGATAGATAACGAATGAACAGAGATAGATAGATAGATAGATAGATAGATAGATGGGATCTGAATGAGTTAGCAACAAAATCAGTAGAGATAGATAGATAGATAGGATCTGAAATGAGTTAGCAAACAAAATCAGTAGAGATAGATAGATAGATAGGATCTGAATGAGTTAGCAACAAAATCAGTATAGATAGATAGATAGATAGATAGATAGATAGATAGATAGGATCTGAATGAGTTAGCAACAAAAATCAGGATAGATAGATAGATAGATAGATAAGATCTGAATGAGTTAGCAACAAAATCAGTATAGATAGATAGATAGATAGATGAATGAGGGATCTGAATAGATAGCAACAAAAGCAAACAAAATCAGTATATATATATAGATATATAGATGAATGGGATCTGAATTTGTTAGATAGATAGATAATAAAATCAGTATAGATAGATAGATAGATAGATAGATAGATAGGATCTGAATGAGTTAGCAACAAAATCAGTATAGATAGATAGATAGATAGATAGATAGATAGATAGATAGATATGAGTTAGCAAACAAAATCTGGATAGATAGATGAGTTAGCAACAAAATCAGGATAGATAGATAGATAGATAGATGAATAGGATCTGAATGAGTTAGCAACAAAATCAGGATAGATAGATAGATAGATAGATAGATAGATAGATAGATAGATAGATAGATAGGATCTGAATGAGTTAGCAACAAAATCAGGATAGATAGATAGATAGAATCAGAATGAAATAGTAACAGAATCAGAATAGATGAATAGGTAGGAAGAAAGAAAGAATGAAAATGAGATAGCAACAGAATTAGAATAGATAGATAGATAGATAGATAGATAGAGATAGCGTTGCATACTAGACCAGATACCAGGTTCGTTCTCAGGGTGCAGGTTCTTTCAGTCGAACGCCTAAGGCTTAATATATGGAAAATAACTTTTGGTCAGATTATTACCCACGAAATAAAACTCTGAAACGAAACTATAATTTTTTTTATAATGGTTGTAACCTTCTGCTGTAAACAAGCGCGGCGGATGAAGGCGAGTTCAGCGGGCGAACTTCTCTTCATGTAGACGGCTAGGGACTATTATCGTATAGCGAAATAGCGTTCTTTTTTCTTGTCAGCTTTCGTCTAAAAAGGAATTCATCATGTTCTCTTCCATTCAAGTGACCTACTTTGTAAGATCCGTTTGACATGTTTTTGTGAGGTCCGCTTCGCTCAGCAGATGATCGTTAAAACGATTTCTGTAACATCTTCTATATGTCGCCTTAAGAAGATATCAGCTGCCAGCTGATATCGCTGCAGTAGATAGATAAATAGATAGATACATAGAAATACACTGAAATATGATCGACAGATTCGTTTTTTTTTTTTCGGCTTATCAACCCTTTGCGGCTTATTTAAAGACACTCAATAATAAATCCATCAAAAGAGTTGAGGACTTCAAATATCTTGGATATCACATAATAGAATCCCAGACTTACGAAAAGCTCTGGCTTGGAATGCATGTAGCAGACTTCACAAGATTTGGCACTCGAAATTGTCATCATCTTCAAAAGTCCAAACCCTGAGCCTGGAACTGGACTCTCTGATTAACAATTCTGAATCATTATCGATTACACCACGGGCACCACCATGTGCAACTGGCATTTGTAAGCGATCACCCCTCTAAATACTGCCCAGGCTCGATGTTTGCTTAACTACGGTGATCGTACGGGAAATGGTGTTTCAACATAATGTGGCCGTACGAGGCCACTGAGATTGTTAGATAGACAGATACATAGATAGATAGATAGATAGATAGATAGATAGATAATAAACAGAATTAGATAGATAGATAGATAGATAGATAGATAGATAATAACCTTACTTTGATAGGTAGATTGGTAAATAGATAATTGACATACTGAGATAAACAGATAAATAATGAACAAACTGAAAAAGATAGACAGATAGATAGATAGATAGATAGATAGATAGATAGATAGATAATAAACAGAATTAGATAGATAGATAATAGATTATAATAGATAGATAGCATATGTCTTTACCTATATCTTTGCTTAGCTCTCATAGAGATTACACCCGACTTGTAATGATTCGGTAGACCTTAACTAAACTTCTTTCAAACTTCCATTGAATCAGTAACGCTTGCATTAATTTCTGACATATGTCAATTCCTGTATTTGTTTGCAGTGCAATACTAATATATAAAAAAAACATCAATCATTTAATTGTATTACACATAAAATAAACCTTCTTTTGTTTTACACTATTTATATTCTAACTATTCTTCTTATCTTTGTTGCTGTTATCACAACGTTTTCGGCCTTCCTCTGCTGTATATCGATTTGTGTATCCGACAAGGATTTCTGAATTAAGCTCTTTCTTTAATCTATGGGGCTGGATTGTTCTCGTTCCACTGCTCATATATAGGTATGGAAGGAAAACGGTAAACGTCGCCCCCCCCAACTCCTGTGGAATGAAGTGAAAATACTGGACAAGAATGAACATTGGAGAGTTAGACGAGTGAAAGAATCAGCGCATATGCTAGGCTATGAGGATCTCGTTAGTAGGCCTAGCATAGAAACGAATACAATATGGGAGACGTTAATAAAGAAAGGCAAATGGCAGCAAGACTTCAAGAGCAGCAGCACCAATCAAAACATGGGCAGCAGATGCAGTCAAAACATAAATGCATTGATTTGTGAAATTGGTGACATAATGTTGTGTGTTCAATCCCTGGTGGACTCAGTGGAAACGGGCGAACAATAATTGAACCATACTAAATAAGAACAAGAACTAATCAGCGACACGAGAACAGTCTATCCCCGTTGATTAAATAAAGGGTTCAGTTCTGTATTCAGAATTCGCTGTAGGTTACCCAGATCGATATACACCTGAGGAAGGCCGAAAAACACAACAGCCGAAACATTGTGATAACATTAACAAAGGTGAGAAGGTTGGTCCGAATTCAGACAAATCTTTTATTTATTTTTTTTTTAACTTGTCAAAATTAATAAAGAAGTCAATTTGTCAACATTAATTATATACATAGAAAATTTTTAATGAAAAAAAAATAATTAAAAACCATTTTTATCAATCTCTCTAAACACCGGATCGATTCTCCAGAGTTGTTCAGTATAAGGTACAAAGAGTTTTCGGCCTGCATCGTGAGAAAGAAAGACGTTCTTTTTTTTTTTATTTTGTTGTTGTTCATGTTGTTTTTGTTTTTTGTTTTTTTTTGTTTTTTTTTTTTTTTTTTCTTTTGCATGTTCTTTTCTCATTGTCAATCTCCTTTTCCGCCAACGGATCTTCTGCCACGTTGCAACTGCATCGAAGAGTCTTCATCCTGCTTATCAATGCCGTGATGGTGGTGGGAAGCGTCGCCCATTCCGCCTTCCCCTTTCTTTTCCATCTCCCCATCGTCGTCGTCGTCTTCCTCTTGCTCAACATTCACGTAGCCTTTTACCAAATTTGGCTATTTCCACTGAAAACAGTTCAATCTCGTTCGCCTCAAAACCTGATGCTATTTTAAACTGATCTCGCGAGAAAAGGGTAAAGGCGAATTCACTTGTATTAGTTCTCGCTTAATTCCGAAACGAAGTAATTTCATTACTGTTTTCAGAATAGTATTCCTTGTTTTATTAGTGCATTTTTATTTATTTTTCTTCTTTTTATTTATTTATTTTTTTTTTTTTATTTTACCACAACTTTCTAAATTCGCTTGTGTGGAATGAACGCGATTTTCAATTTGCGAAAATGTCAAGAAAGACTTTAAACAAGTGAGGCGCACTGTACTAAAATATTTAGAAAATTGCTCAATGCTAATAGATATAAACATCTATTGATAGTATCGAGTTTTGACTCTTTTTTTGTTTTCATTTTCCTTTTGCATATTTGTTTCATTCGGGTTTTTTTCCCCCCCACGAGGCACATTTCAGTTCACTTTTTCATTTTCGGTTCTTTTCCTGTATTCGTTTTAAAAGCTCCCAAGCGCTAAAATAATTATATATTTTTCCAACTATCCCCGTTAGTGCACGGACGCACGCATACATAAATACATACACGCATGCATACATACATACATACATACATATATATAAATATATATATATATATATGTGTGTGTGTGTGTGTGTGTGTGTGTGTGTGTATTAGAGAGGTGAGTGGTGGCGGAGGAGATGATTTTTTTTTTAAAATCCTTTTCTCAGTATTAACTGTAACACCTGCTCCGATATTTGATAAAACTGAAAAAAAATAAAAGAAAATAAGCGAATGGGTAAATGAATGAATAAATAATGTTAAATAAATAAATAGAGAAAATTCTCATTTTTATTAAATCTTCCACTTTCCTTATTTAACAGTTCTACTGATCCGATCTGACCCGTTTCAATTATTTGCACTCATTGCATTTAACAATAGAAAAACAAAATCAAGCACGTCTTGTTTTCTTTTTTTATTATTATTATTATTATTATTATTATTATTATTATTATTATTATGATAATTATTATTATGATTACTATTATTATTATTGCGATTATTATGATTATTATTTTTATGATAATTATTATTATTATTATGATGATGATTAATATTATTATTATGATTATGATTATTATTATTGCTATTATTATTATTATTATTAAAATTATTATTGCTATTAAATGATTATTTGATTGATAATTATTATTATGATGATGATTAATATTATTATTATGATTATGATTATTATTATCTATTATTATGGTTATTATTATTATTAAAATTATTATTGCTATTATTATGATTATTATGATCATTATTATTATTATTATTATTGCTATTATGATTATGATTATTATTATTATTGCTATTATTATGTTTAATATTATTATTATCATTATTATTCTGATTATTATTATTATTATTGCTATTATTATGATTATTATTATTATTATTGCTATTATATTTCGTTTTCTGCTATGGTCGCATTATCTTAGGCAGGAAGCGGTATCTTTTTATGGGTACATTTCATGATTTGTTTTGCTAACTCCTATAACATCACTAGTGTTACGTGGGCAAAGTTCTTCTTAGTGTGTCGTGTCTACTTATCAAGACAGTTTTTTTTTAATTTCTCTTAAGCTGGGATTTCCTGGAATTTATTTTCTATGTTTTGTTTTGTTCCTTTTTTATCATTCCAAGCGCACCTACTATGACTGGTATTATTCTTATTTTCAATTTCCACATTTATTTTTCTATTTCGATTTCCAGGTTTTTATACTTCGATAGTTTTACAAATTATTCGATTACAGTCCGCTGCGCAAGCTTCATCAATTAGTAGGCAAGCCGTATCAATTAGTAGGCTTATTATCATATTATTTTAGATGTTTCGGTCAAACAGAATAGGAATTATTATTATTATTATTATTATTATTATTATTTATTTCCTTTGATTTCTGGTGTATTCTCATTTTTCCGGGTCCCAACCAGAGAGCTAAGATCAGAAATGGCTTCATTACATTTTTTCCACAGAGAATTTTTTGAGGGGAAAAAAACTAAGATCACTGCTCTGTCGCTACTTCTATGCAATGTGCTCGCAGGAACTACATCGCTTGGTTCCATTCCTCCTAATCTTTAAGGCCATGCCACTCAAATATAGCAAACCTCTCACATTCCCTCCATATTCCACTGGTGATAAGTTCCCCTAGAACAGCTTCTTTCCTCGAACAACTGCTCTGTGGAACAGACTTCCAAGAGCAGTGGTTCGCTGATCATTATCTCAAATCCAGGTATAGGGTTAAAAAATTAGCTTTCCCTCCTATCCGTATAAAGTGCTTCTTCATGTAACCCTCTAACTAGGCTGGCTCCCGGGCCTTTTTTTATTATGATCATATCTCAGCTCCTACACTCAGCTGAAAGACACAACACTGCTCAGCACATGGGCCATTCCAAGAAACGCTGCTACCTGCTCACTCGTAATGACGCCAGGAAATTCCGAAGATAAACCCAATGGGAAAGAAGCTTTCATATTTATGTCTGATATTGCAATATTTAGTCAAAGTTAAGCGCAAATATTTAACAATGCAATTTGGAAGTTTTACGGATATTTTATTGCCGTAGAAAACGCCAAGAATTCATACAATCATTAACTGAAGACTTAAGATTCCACAGAAAATTAAAATATGAAAACCGTGAAAATTTTTACAGGCATTTTTTTTTAATCCGTATCACCGTAAGCCATGCAGTACAGCGACTAGCAGGCAAGGGGATACAGGATGTAGAAAAATTAAAACCAGTATCATTAATAATCAGTGGAAAGAGAAAAGAGCTGTCGAAACAAAAACCTTCGACACAGTAAAAGGTGGGGAAAACCCAGAAGAGAGCAGCAACAGCCTGGTAAGGGTTGCAAAAGGAGTCCTCCTCTTTTAACCCGCTCCAACTAGGTCTAGTAACAGAGAAGAAAAAAAGTAACAGTCCTTCAGCCACGACAATTAACCAGTCACGCGTCGGCTGATAGAGAAAATAGGTCTCGTGAGAGTACGGAGGACAATTTTTATAAGGAGGCTAACCGTTTTCCACAATCCTCCTCCAGCCAAGACCATAAACATCAGTTGGTCATTTGCTTCCAGTTTAGCTGGACACAATTCCCCCGAGGCTGAAGCAACCTGTCCGTAAGTAACCCCTTCTCTCTTCCTCTTTCCTTTTCGTCACAGAGCAATCAAGAGGACAGTAGATAGCGATTGACATTGCATTTAAATCTTTGCAGATTAAAGTTGAATGGAAAGCGTGGAGCCGGAAAGGAAGTTCCACAAACGAGAGGTGCGAGAAAAGAAACTGTTAGCGTAGAAGTAAGGACGATATCTAGCTAACTCAACTATATATTGATGCGATCTCTCCACCAGTCTAGTATTGCGCTTAAATTCATACAGTCTAGGTACCATAAAGATGAGCTCATCCGAACAATTATCACGAAAGTATTTATAAAAACAGTACACAGAGGCAACTTTACAGCGGTGAGAAAATGACTGAAGCCGAGATGCCAGTTGAAGACTAATA